CAGAGCCAATCCATGTTCACGGTCCTGCATGCTATGACGGACGCCGCCCAAGATTTAGGGGATCTGATTGTCGACAAGTTGCAATGCAGCATCGCCGACCACAAGTCTGTCGTCCTTGCGTCGTCGGACACGCTGAAGCAGAAATTAGCTAAAGCCTTAGAGCCCCAAGGAGGCCAGCCGGGAGCTTCTGCCCCCAATCTTGGCATCGATTATTTTGTTGGCCGGAAGCGCAATATGAAAAAGCACCGGCCCAAGGCCATTGAACGGCACCAAAATCTTCGCAAGAGACTAGGTCGACTCTCGTCGTTCAGAGCTGGGGGAGCCAACATCAGCAAGCTGTATGCCGGAGGACTCCAGCAGGCAGGACACTACGGCACGGAGGTTCTAGGAGCTGATGACAACGAAGTGAGGGGCATCCAATCCACGTTTCTGAACGCCGTGGGCCCGCGATGCTCCACTAGATCTCGCTCCCTCAGCCTCCTCCTCGTCAATGATCCCACTTGGAGGGTGGGAGTTGGGCCGTGTTTAACCTGGGCCAAGATCGTGTGGAGAGCTGCCGATGCGCGAGACGGAGGAATCACCCTGCCCGAACTTAGGGATTTAGTTGCCCCCATTTGGGCTGCTCCCCCCAAGAGGCGGTTGGACTCCAGGGGCCCCTTCGGAGCATGCCTTCTCTCGCTCAGCAGACTTGGTTGGAAGGCCGTCAGTGCGTTCGAGTTTTCGGACAGGGATGGCTCACTCTTCCCCCTCACCTCGGTCTCGCCCGCCTTCCTCTCCGCAGCGCTGCAGAAGTCATGGCGGGACAGGCTGGTGGAGCAAGCGAGCGAGCGACTGGGGTGGATGGGGGATCAGGTCTGCGTTTCTGCTGCCCCCAGCGTCCTCAACTCCCCTTCTCGTACCCCTCGGGAGCGTTCCATCCTCCTCGCCTTCCTCTCCCGGAGTATATGGACCAAGTTTGGTCTTCGAGAGGCGGGTTACGAGGAGGACTGCAATGGCCCTTGCGGGCACGAGCACGACAGCATGTATCACAGACTGTTCGAACGCGTCCTTTCGGCGGCCGAGCGAGCTGAGCATTTCAGTTTTGAAGGTATCGATGCTCTCAAGAATGCAGACTGGACTCATCTTCAGGCGGGTCTGGACGTCATGGTTAAGTTTGACGTCAATGCCCCAGCAGGGCTTGGTCTCGAGAATGCGACCTTGTGGGCGTTGGACCCGAACAGCACTCTAGCCCAAGCCCTGCAGGGCAACTTGTACCTAGACGGATCGTGCTTTAAAGTAGGGCCTAAGTGTTACCACCGAGCGGGATTGGCTGTTGTAGTCATTGACCCTGCCACGGGTGAAGCCATAGCTGCGTTAGCGGGCCCTGATGGTAGAGCTTTGCCTCAGACCTCACCCGCGGCAGAATTCTTAGCTGCATACGCCGCGGTCAAATTCGGAAGTAACATCTCGGCCTTGATTGCCGACTACACTGGCACATGCAGTCTGCACGCCCCAGGTCTGTCCCCTAAAGGTTTTGATTATGGCCTCATTAAAAGTTGTGCCGGCTGGAGTCGGGACATCGGCCTGATCAAAGTCAAGTCGCATCAGAAGCTCACCAATTTAGAGCCCCACACAGAGGATTGGCGGCATGCTTCGGGAAACGCCGAGGCTGATCGGTGGGCGAAGTGGGCGGCCAACGAGCTGTTGCAACCCTCCCCTGCCGACAGTCAACAGACAGAATCGCGTTTCAAGCTGTTGCAGCGTTTTCTACAATATGATTGTAAGGTCTTGCCAAAGTGGTCTCCTGTTGCTTCCAAGCCTGGGGGCAAAGCATTGGCCAAACCTAACAAATCGAATAATCCCCCTGTTGGGGCTGCATCCGCCCCTGGCTCCAATCTTGTGCCCCCTCCTCCCCGCCCCCCTGTGATGTCTGGGGGTCGTGTGGTGCATGATTGGACTTGGAGCCTGGGGGGATGGGTTTGCAAGCTGTGCAAGGCGAGGGCGCTTTCTGAGGCGAGGAAAGAAGCCAGGCTCAACGAGAAGTACACTGGCAATTCCCCTCTAAAAACCCTCGCTGCTGACAGTCACGGCCACACGCTGGTGGTGGCCGATTTTGAGACAGGCGAGAGCTTCATCATTGCTTGTCAGACTTGTGGAGCTTATGCGGTCTCGAATCCACGTAATTTGTCCAGCTTTTGTCCCAGGCGCTTTTCGGACGCCCAGAAGCGTGGATCCAAGTATGCATGGAATGAGATTTGTCAAGGAAAGCACCCCAAGAAGCCCAGGGTGCAGCTTCGCCCCTTCATCCCCCTAGCCCAGCTCCTGGCAGATTTAGCCCAGGACTAGCAGGAGCAGGAGAGGGAGGAAGGTAGGTAGGGCTGGAGCGGGGAGCGCGTGCGGGGAGAGTGACCCCCCCGCGCACGGCCCGATCTCGCCAACCAGATCTCCCAGGCGCGCCCCGCGCCTCCGCGCCGCCGCGCGATTGCAGGCAAGACGGCAGAACCCCCGTTCAGGATGCGTGCTGGTCCTCCTCCTCCTCCTCCTCCTCCTCCTCCTTCTCCTCTTCCTCCTCCTCCTCCTCCTCCTCCTCCTCCTCCTCCTCCTCCTCCTCCTCCTCCCATGCCCTGGCCCAGGACAGGAGAAGAGCTGCCCGCTGCTTCTTCCAACTCCTCTTCCACCTCTTCTCAAAATGCGCCCCCCGGGCTCAACTGTAGTGCATTCTGGCCCAAATTCTACGGCGCATCCGACCGTGGCGACGAGAGGCGACCCAGAGGCCCAACTGGAAAGAAAATGTCCGAAACTCTTGAAGCTCGAGCCTTCGACCATCTAGCCTCGACCCTACCCGATGATGATCATCATCACCATCATCATCATCATCATCATCAGCAGCAGCAGCATCATCATCATCATCATCATCATCATCATCATCATCATCATCATCATCATCATCATCATCATCAGCATCAGCATCAGCATCATCATCATCATCATCATCATCATCATCATCATCATCATCATCATCATCATCATCATAATCATAATCATCATCACAATCATACCATCATCAGCATCATCATCATCGTCATCATCCTCAGCATATCATCATCGGCATATCATAATCATTATCATGACCACCACCACCAGCATCGTCATCAGCAGCATCATCATTACCATAAAAAAACACCATCCTGAATAATCATCATCATCAACATCGGCATCATCATCAACATCATCATCATCACAACCATCATCATCATCAGCATCAGCAACATCATCATCATCATCATCATCATCAGCATCGTCATCAGCATCATCAGCATCATCAGCATCATCATTATCATTACGTACTCATCAACAGCATCAGCATCAGCAGCAGCATCATCATAATCATCATCAGCAGCAGCATCATCGAAATCGTCAGCATGATCAGCAGCATCATCGTCATCATCAGCATCATCACAATCACCATCATCATCATCAGCATCGTCAGCATCATCATGATGATCAGCATCATTACAATAAGCATCGTCAGCATCATCATCATCATCATCATCATCATCATCAATGTCATCAACGTCATCATCATCACAATCATCACCACCATCATCACATCATCATCAGCATCAGCATCATCATCACCATCGCCATCAACATAATCAGAATCATCATCATCAACAACAACACATTCATAATCCCAATCATCATCAGCAGCATCATCATTATCTCCATCTTCATATGCATCAGCATCATAATGATGGCCATCACCATCAGCATCATCAGCAGCATCATCATCGTCATCTTCGTCGTCACCGCAATCACTGCCGACACCACCATCATCATAAACATCATACTCCTCATCATCACGTTTATCATCGCCATCATCATCATCATCATCATCAACATCCACAGCATCATCATCGTCGTCACCCGCATCGTCATCCTCCTCCTAGTCCTCCTGCTCCTCCTCCTCCTCCTTATCCCCCTCCTGCTTATCATCATCATCACAAACACCGTCACCATTACCATCACCATCACATCATCACCATCGTTACCATCACCATTATCACCATCGTCATCATCCTCAGAATCATCATCATCATCGTCGTCATCATCATCCTCCTCCTTGTCCCCCTGCTCCTCCTCCGTATGCTCCTCCTCGTCATCATCATCATAATCACCACCACCATCACCATCACCATCACCATCACCATCACCATCACCATCACCATCACCATCACGATCACCACCATCAACATCGTCACTATCATCATCATCATCATCATCATCATCATCATCATCATCATCATCATCATCATCATCATCATTCTCATCTTCATCCTCATCCTCATCCTCATCCTCATCATTACCAGCAGCATCATCATCACCACCAACAGCACCACCACCACCACCATCATCATTATCAGCATCATCGTCATCATCAGCATCATCATTATCGTCGTAGTCACCCGCATCGGTATCCTCCTCCTAGTCCTCCTGCTCCTCCTCCATATCCTCATCCTCCTCCTCATCATCATGATCGTCATCATAAACGCCAACACCATCAGCATCACCATCACCATCATCACCATCGTTATCATCATCATCGACAACAACAACAACCACAACAACAAGAATCATCAGCAGCAGCAGCATCATAATCACCACCACCATCACCATCACCATCATCACCATCGTTGTCATCATCGTCATCAACAACACCAACAACAACCACAAACAACAACAAGAATCATCAGCAGCGGCATCAGCAGCAACACCACTATCAGCATCAGCATCAGCATCAGCATCATCACCACCACCACCATCACCACCACTATCACCATCACCACTCCGTCACCATCACCATCATCATCACCACCACCATCGCCACCACCATCACCATCACCCCTCCATGGGAGCGCGGGGGGGACAGGGCCCAGACCTCGCTCGCCGCCGGGGGCGCCCCCCGTCCCGACGCACCGACCCTGGCGGGCTTCATCCCTGGGGGGGGCGCGGCGGGGCGCCTGCTGCAGAGCGACGCCCTGCGCCCGGCCGGTCCCCTCCGGGGGCGTGCCGGCGCCTGGCGCAGACGGGGGCAGCAGGGGCGCCCAGACCGAGGGAAGAAAGGGAGCAGAGGACGAGAAGAGGGAGGAGAGGAGAGGAGAGGAGAGGAGAGGAGAGGAGAGGAGAGGAGAGGAGAGGAGAGGAGAGAGAGAGAGGAGAGGAGAGAGGAGAGGAGAGGAGAGGAGAGGAGAGGAGAGGAGGAGAGGAGAGGGAGGGGTGAAGGAAGAGGAGGAGTGAGAAGTGGGGGGAGGGAGGAGGAGGAGGAGGAGCAGGATGGGGAGGCGCAACGGGAAGCGAGGAAAAGGAAGTGGGGGTGGACGAGGAGGAGCAAGTCGGTTGCCACCTGCACCCTCGACAGCGCCTGCACGGCGCCGCTGCCCGCCGAGCCGCTGGGGGCGGGGCGCGCTTCCCAACGGCTGCTCGGCGGCCAGCGTCCTCCGATAACTGCAGGAGCCCCAGGACACACAAAGAGATACACACAAGTAAGAAGATTCCCCATGTTTTCCCATCTTTTCTGGGTTTTGTCTTCCCCCCCACTTCCCATATCTTCGCAGATGTTCTGGAGAATCGACGATCAATTCTGTCTGTGTGCTTCTTTCACTCCTGAATAACGCCCTGCCGCCAAGGGGAGTCGACGCCGGGGTCGCGACCGCCACAGGACACCACTCGCTCGCGAACGGCCCCCAGAGATGACTAACCACCCCAACCCAACCCGAGGACCCCAATTTCGGGTTGGGGGGGGTGCGGGCTCCATATGTGCTTTTTCAGTGTTCCCCGATCCCCCCGCACTGGAAATGGAGGGCAAATCGAGGCCTTCGGGTTGGGTTGGGATGGTTTGGTGGCCTGCGAGCGACTGCCGCAGGACATCGCGAACGGCCCCCAGAGACCACTTGGCGGCGCGCACAAGGGGGTAGGGGGAGGGGGGAAGGCTTCTTAGAAGGAGGCTGCTTCTTTGAAGGCGCCGGCCTTACATCTACAAAGAAGGCCCGCGCCTTCTAAGAAGCAGGGGTGCTTCTAAGAAGCCCTCCCCCCTCCCCCCACCCCCCTGTGCGCGTGGCTGAACCACCCGGGAGGACACGAGCACTCGCGCGTGGTGGTCCCCATGGTCCAGTCGCGCAGCTGACTGGAGGACCCACGCTGCACCGACTTGAGGAACCAGCTGAGCTGCCGAATAGAGAAACTGTCAGGACCAAGGCTGGGTTCCGCGCTGCCCAGTCCCGGCCCGTTGCTGATGACCCAACCGCGCCAAGGAAGTAATCCGATTGTGCCGTGTATTCATTTGGGGCCTCAGGGTCAAGGAGTGGTTGAAACACACACACACACAACACACACATACACACACGCACACACACACACACACACATACACGCACCCACACACGCACCCACACACACACACACACACACACAGACACGTGATGGCGGCGGCCCTGGTGGTCCTTCGGCAGCGGCCTGGCCCCCCCCCGAGGCCGCATCTGCCGCTGTCGGTCGGCCCTCCAATGAGGTCGCCGACGACGCCCGTCCCGCGGGGCAGGCACACCCGGTCGACCTCGACCACGGAAAGAGCGCGTTTCACGGGCGCTTGCCTTGGGAACATTCGGCGGCGCGTTTCGAACCGCGGGGTCCCCCCCCAACATTCGGCGCCGTCGATCAGAACCAGGGGGACTCCCCTCACCCCTAAACCACCCCCCTCCCCGAACCCACCCCCCCTCGGAGGGGGAGGGTTCGAACCCCGCCCCCGTCCCCCCTGGCGCCGGCGCCGGCGCCGACGCTGGCGGCGGCCGGCAGCGCCGACGGCGGGGACGCAGCGACAATGATAAGAGAGGGCCCACAAGCCGCAGAGGGGAACACACAAATCGCCATATCGAGCCCTCACCCCCCAAAAGCCACTGGGAGGCCGTTAGGAAGGTCCAAGAGACGCCCAAGAGGCGCCCAGGAGGCTTCACAAATGCTCCTCGGACGCCCCCGAGACCCCTCGGACGAGACCCCAAGAGGCATCCATTAAAACTCTGACCCAAAGCCAAGGCACGGTGGCGGGAAGACCCGAAGGCCACACCACCACCACCACCCCAAACCACCACACCAGCGCCACCATCACCACCGCCACCACCACCACCACAACCACCACAACCCTCCACCACCAGAACCACCACCACCACAAACAAACACCAACACCACCACGACAACAACCCACAAAACCCACCACAACCACCACCACCACCACCACAAACCACCACAAACCACCACACCACCACCACCACCACCATCACCACCACCATCACCACAAACCACCACCACCACCACCACCACAAACCACCACACAACTCACCACCACCACAGCCTCCACCACCACCACCACAACAACCCACCACCACACCACCACAACCTACCACCACAACTACCACCACCACCACAATTCACCACACCACCACCATCACCACCGCCACCACCACCACCACAACCACCACAACCCTCCACCACCACAACCACCACCACCACAAACAAACACCAACACCACCACGACAACAACCCACAAAACCCACCACAACCACCACCACCACCACAAACCACCACAAACCACCACACCACCACAACCACCGTCACCACCACCATCACCACAAACCACCACCACCACCACCACCACAAACCACCACACAACTCACCATCACCACAGCCACCACCACCACCACCACAACAACCCACCACCACACCACCACAACCTACCACCACAACTACCACCACCACCACAATTCACCACACCACCACCACCACCACCACCACCGCCTCAACCACCACCACCACTACCACCACCACAACCCACCACCACCACAAACAACCACACCACCACCAACCCCACAAACCACCACACAACCACTACCACCACCACCACCACCACCACACGTTCCACTACTACCACCACAACGACCACCTCCACCACCACCACAACCACAACCTACCACCACCACCACCACCACCACAAACCACCACACCACCACCACCACCACCAGACGGGATGGGGAGGGGGGTTCGAACCCCCTCCTCCCTTCAAACCACCCCCTTGGGTAAAACACAAGCCTCAGACCCTCCAGTGGGAAGGCGCAGCGCAGGCCAATGACCCTGCCACGGCACGACGCCAGCGGCTGGGCTCTCCACGGGTACGGTCAAGGCCGCAGAACATGACGCCATCATGTCAATTGTCCTCGCTGTGCGCGCCGATGCCACGGCAGCGCGACGCCGACGGCTCAGGCTCACGGAGACCAAGAAGCTGAGCCTCGTGTGGTCCAGCCACCCCGCCTCTGCTCGAGCGACAGCGACCTTGGCGGCGACACATCTGGACACATCTGGAGCTGCACGAGAACGCTGACGTCGAGGAAGGGGCGACGACGACGACGACGACGACGACGACTCCACGGTCGCGACATATATCCTAGCCTCGCCTATCTTGCCTTGTGAGCCATGCTGCGCACCGTATACACGCTGGTCTGCACAGCCGTCTGCTTCGTGTGTGCCTACGCTGAGCGCGCCGACCACGCGACGGCGACCCCGCGGTCGCGTTGCTTTTCTGTGTCCCGCCTCCTCACCGCCTTGTACGGCGCTATGCTGCGCGCCAGCTATGTCGGCCTGCACCGCCGCGTGATTCGCCTGTGCCTTCGCCGGGGCCGCCGAGGGTGAAGGCATGGACGCGGAGACGCACCGTGAAGGGACGTTCAACGAGGATGAGGGCGACGACGACTAAGTGACCGCGACGCCCCATCTTCGCCTCTGGCTGCAGCGGGCCAAGCCCTCGCTTTGGGCCCCCTGCCCATCCGGGAGACTCCGCAGGCAAAGCGGAGCGCTGCGCCCAGGAAGCGCGCCACGCGAGCGAGACCTCGCGCCTTTGGCTGCCGAGGGAGGCTTCCGCCTGGCCTTCGCCTGCCGCTGACGGAGGGCCCCGTGCCCCTCCACTGCCGCTGTCGACACCGACACCAACGGCCAGCGACCGTCTGGCCCGCGCGAGTGGTCCGCCCCAAAGAGAGCCGCCCGTCGCCCAACAGCGGCCCGCCGAGGTCGACAACACTCGCGCCGAGCCTATCCGCCAGGAGCTGCACATCCAGGCGGCGGAGGAACAGCCGCGCGGTTGGCGCTCCACCCAGCCATCTGCATGGCCCTCGTGAGGCGCCGTGTGCGAGTACGCAACGAGCAGCAAGCGCCCCTTTGGCCGCCTCGCGATTAGGCAATAGGTGACCGTCACAAAACCAGTGAAACCCACAAAACGGATGGCAGGGGCGGGCGGGCGGCCATGATCGGTCTCACCACAACATCTTCTTCCGCCAACAGCATGGATGTGCAGCTCCTTCGCGCCAGTCCTACATATATAGTACATTATGTATTATATAATTGTATATACATATACATATACATATACACATACGTGTTCATAGACATATACATATACATATACATATACATATACATATACATATACCTATACATATGCATATACGAAAACATGTCCATGTACAGATAAATATATATATATATATAAATATATATGTGCATACTAATATACATATACATATATATACATATATATATATGCATATATATACACATACATATACATATACGTATACATTTACATATACATACACATATACATATACATATACAAATACACATACATATAAGAATAAGAATACACATATACATATACATGTAAACACATATACATATACATGTACATATACAAATACATATACATGTACACATACATATACATATACATATACAAATACATATACATATACATATACATATACATATCCATGTACATCTACATCTATATCTGTATATACATATACATATACAAATACAAATACAACTACATATGCATATACATATGCATATACATATACATATGCATCTATATATATGTATAGAGACATATACCTATACCTATACATATACACGTACACATACATATACGTATACATATACATAAACATATACATATACATATACATATACATATACATAT